ATCTGCCTGCCTCTGCCTCCCAAGTGCTGGGACTAGAGGCGTGCACCACCATGCCTGGTTTATTATTTTATTTTTTTAAGATTTATTTTTATCATGTTTTAATTATGTGTGTGTTGAGGGATATGTGTGTATATGAATCCAGGTACCTGTGAAGGCCAGAGGCAAAGGATCACCCTGGAGCTAGAGTTATAGGCAGTTGTGAGCTGCCTGACATGGGTGCTGAGACCTGAACTCAGGTCCTTTGCAAGAGCAGTATGAGCTCTTCACCACTGAGCCGTCTCTCCAGCCCCTACCATATTGTTTCTATTTGCTCCTCTTAGGTTTTTTCCTCTCTGGTTTCTTTTTTGTGCCTTTTTTGGTGTTACTTGAACATCCTTTTAAATTTTTTTAATTGAATTTTTGTATATTTAATACAGAAAATCATCTTTATATCCCTTTCCCGCTTCCCCTTTGGCACCCTCCCATAGCCCCTGTCATTTGTATTAAGGCCTATTATATAAAGTTAGTGTCCCAAGATGTCCCTCAGTGCAAGTTCATCCACCAGGGTACTTTAGGCAGCCTATCTAGAGTCTCTCCCTTCAAGAAGATCAGCTCTTCCTCACCCAGCAGTAATCAGCTACCAATAATTCTTCCACTAAAATTGGGATATGTTGTCCATCTCTACAATTCTGTGCTGGGTTTTGGTCTGCCTAAGTTTGCATGGGTCTTGTGCATGCTGACACCATTGCTGTCGGTTTGTATGAGAAGGGTCCCAGGTGCCTGTAGGACTATTTCCATATGGTACTGCACCTCCTTCCTGGCTGTTACAATCTTTCTGCCCCATCTTCTGTGGTGGTCCCTGAGCCTTGGGTGGGTGGACCTCAATATAGGAGTCCTGTCCAAGGACCCATACTTTGCTGACTCTTATTCTCTGCTTTTTGGCCATTTGTGGCCTTTTGTGTTCTAGGCCCTCTGTTGCATGAAGGAGCTTCATTGATGAGAATTGAAAGATGCATTAATGTTCTCTTCATCCCTTGTTCTATGTTCTGTGAGTCTTAGGTGTAGAGGTTGCATCCTAGATGTAACACTTAGAATCTCAGAGAATTCACAGAGAATCTCTGTGTGTGACAAGTGGTGTAACTCTGTAATAATCTCTATCTTTGCAAAAGAAACTACTTTCATGGGTGGTGACTGGGATACTTGTTTGTAAGTTTAAGGATCCATATTTTGCACATAGTAAGAAATTACATTTGTCTAGGGATATGAGAGCCTTGGGGTTTTCTCTAAGATCTATAATCTCTCCAGCTATGTATATTTGGCTAGGTTTATAGCACCAGACATGAGTTCCCTCCCATTGAGTGGGCTTTAAGTCCAATTAGGTAGCTGTTGATTACCCCCAAGATAAAAGTGCCATTACTGTACCAGTGTAGTTTGCTGTGCTGGTCATTTTGATGTGGTTTTAGGCCTTGTAGCTAGAGTTGGACCATTGATTGATGTTCTCCCTTACCAGCTTTCATGGTGCTCTCCAAAGCTATGAGAACTAGCCTTCAGGGGAGGTGGCTTCCATGTCAGTTCCAGCTCCATTGCTCCAAATCCTATGTCCAAAGTATGTCCTGTCTTCAGCAATAGGGTCTTACCATCAAATTCTGAGAGGCAAACAAGACTGTGGCAATAGCCTGTGTAATTTTGGGAGTCTCTTGGGCTACCCTGCCAACAATTCAAAGGAAGATTTCTCCTGTCTGGCACTACTTGAGTGTTTTCTAGTATACCTTTCTAATTTATTTATGGTACTACTTTTTCATAGTTTCTCTGGGCATTAAAGTGTACATACTTATCTTTTCATAATCTATTTAGAATCAACATTATCACATCAAGTGAAGTGTAACCACTTTATACCGCCTAGGGCTCTTGACACTCCCTGTTTATGTCATAGATGCCCTATGGATTATTGATGGTGGATAATGGTGGTAATGATCCAACCCCTCCTGTTATAAGTGAAAGACTGCCAGCTTGCTCCTAAAGCTCTTGGTGAACTCTACTGCACTCTGGGACATGCTGGAGGATTTGACACTCTTCTCTGAAGTGTCCTCTGTTCCTGTCTGTCCAGGTGTAACATCAGCTACTTAGAAGAATGGCTTAAAGATAAGAACTTGCAGAACAGCTTAGCCAAGGAAACTCTGGAGCCCCTCTCTCAAGCAGCCTGGCTGCTCCAGGTCAAGAAGATCACAGACAGTGATGCCAAGGAAATCTCCGAATGCTGCACCTCCCTGTCTGCCGTGCAGGTGAGCAGACTGGCCTCAATTCTCTCTGTACCTTCAAGGACAGATCCTTGTTGATGCCAGGGCCTTTCTTGGCTTAGCTGGCTGTATGGTGCTCCTGACTTTCTGTGACTTCTCTCCATACCCACTCTTACCTATTATAACTATTGGTAGATACTGACTCCAGGCCTTAAGGCATAAGCATGTAGACACTATTTTCCTACCCACTAAACTCACAGATGTGCATGAATGAGGGGTGAGCAAGTAGGGGCCAGGAGGCTGAAGGGAGGGTCTGCTCGCTGCCTTCTGTGTGGTGGTGTGTCTATGCTGTCACTATGTGGTTTGTCTCTGCTGCTCTCTATACCCTTGGGGAGAGACAACACATGGTTCTAAAAACAAATTATAGTATAAAAGAACCACCTGTGTTTCCTGAAGGTTTTAAAACTTCCAGAGCTGTTCATGGTCAGAGTTCTTCTTTTCCTTTCCTAATCCCATGTTGTGTAATGTTCACAGATTATAAAGATCCTTAATTCATACACACCTATAGATGACTTTGAGAAAAGAGTCACTCCATCCTTTGTGCGCAAAGTACAGGTGAGACCTTTTCAGTTGCACCTTTTAATCTGGCCTCTGATAGCACAGTATAAGATACTGATATGTAATATGATGCAATCCAAGATTAAAGCATGCAGGTGAGAAGGAAGCTCAGAGGCAGAAGGAGTTTTCCCAGTTTTCAGAATCCATTTCAGTCCTGGTGGGATGGGATGGAAGCTCCCAAACAGAGCTCGGGAGCCATGAGCCTTTACTGCTCCTTTTTAAAATTATATTTGTATGTATTTAGTGTGTGTGTATGTGTGTGCCATGGCATGCAAGTGGAGGTCAGAGGACAACTTGTAGGAGTTTGTTCTCTCCTTCTACCATGTGGGACCTGGGGATTGAACTCAGGTCAGTGGGCTTGGCAGAAAGTGCCTTTTTATCCACTGACCCATCTCACTAGCCCCCTTCAGATTGTTTTGGGATGTAGTATAGATAGGCAGAGCCTAATGGACCATTTTTCTATGATCCCCAAAGTTTCTCTCCCAGGGGGATCAAAGGAGTCCCTGAGACCCTTTCAGGGGTCTCTGCAAAGCCCTTGCTTTTTTGCAGAGATGTACCTGTGTAAGGCAGGATTTCCCTTATATTTCAACCAAAGTAACTTATCCCAGCAGATTGAATATAGAAGCTGCTGAATCACACACAAGTCTTCTATCAAGTCAAACAGTAAGGTTTATAGAAATGGAAATATAGTGTTTCTCACTATATATTTTTTTTGTTCTGGAAAAGTATCTGTTTTTCAATAAAACAGAATATGTTTATTTCAGTGAATTTATCAATATTTAAATATTTTAATTACTAATTTGGTAACTACCACTAGTTATACCCACATATACAAAAGCTCTTTGGAGTTATCATAATTTTTAAGAGCATATAAAGTAGGGGGGCTGGAGAGATGGCTCAGTAGTTAAGAACTTTACTACTCTTCCAGAGGACTCAAGTTCAGTTCCCAGCACCCATATCGGGTGGCTAACATCTGTCTGTAATTTCAGCTCTAGAGGATCTGGCACTGTCTTTTGACTTCCATAGACAACTGCATGCATACACACACACACACACACACACACACACACACACACACACTCAAATAAGAATTGTTAAGAGTACAAAGTAGCCTATGTGGTGGTGCATGTCTTTAATCCCAGCACTTGGGAGGCAGAGGCAGGTGGATCTCTATGAGGTCGAGGTCTTACAACCTGGTCTACATACTGAGTACCAGACCAACGGGGGCTACAGAGAGGCACTGTCTAAAAATAAAAAATAAAAAAAGTATAAAGTAAACCAGTGAATGAAGAAGAAAATGGGTTCAATAAAATGTAAAAGTTGAGATCCACTCATATCTGGGCTTGGAGTAGAGCCTTGAGATAGACAAAAGAATAAAACGAGCCAGCAGGATACCTCAGCCGGTAAAGGTGCTTACTACCAAGTTTAACAATGTTGATTTTGATTCCCAGAACCTACATGGTAGGAGAGAACCCCATTCCTGTAAGTTGTCCTCTGACCTTCACATATGCATACATGGATGCACACACACATATACATATATATATACATACATAAATAAATGTAATTTTTAAAAATGAGTAAAAACAGATTTACAGTCAGTACATCCTGTGAGAAATTGGCTTTGGTGGAAAATGGACTTTTGGAGCAAAACAGCAGGTGAGTATTCCCAGGAGTAACACAGGGGGCAGCTTTGCTCTGGAGTTATGTGCTAAACCACCCTGGGAGTGGCTTCTAAAGGTCTTGGTGGGAGCCAGAGCTGCTGGTTTCTGGCTTTTGACTTCTGAGTAGCTATAAAACAGAGCTTGACTTCACTGACTCTTTCCCTCTGGTTCTGACTCAGGCTCTCCTCAACAACCGGGGTGACTCTTCACAACTGATGCTAGACACCAAGTATATCTTTCAAGTTACCTTTCCCTTCACCACCTCACCCCATGCGCTGGAGATGATCCAGATCCCCAGCAGCTTCAAGCTGGGCTTTCTCCGTAGACTGTAGTGGGAGAAAGGTCAATACCAGTTCCCTGAAACCCGAGTGAAGGTCAAATGGAAAGACATCTTTATTCACCAGAACTGGGAATGTGCTGGATTGTAGTTTAAGGAAGAAAATCCAGCTCCTCCCTTCCCCACAGTGGGCCTCACCTCATCTTACTTCAGCGATGCTGTGCAGCCAGTGAGAATGAGCGCACACTGGCTGGGCTTGGGAAGACTCTTGCTGTGGAACCTCAGTGGCCTTTGTCACAACTCCTGGAAGGCTCACTTTTTCTTCCAAGTGCCTTTGGTCTATTCTGCCTTGTGACACAGATCACACAAACACACACACATATACACAGGAGTGAAATCTGGGGTACAGTGGCTCCCCAGGTTTCTAAGTTTCCTGTGAAGCTCAGAGACTCTTATGAAGCCACAGGTAGGTTTCATAGCTGCGTCTTCTAGGAAAGAATCCTGTTTGGCCACTAAGTCCTCTTGCCCCGTGGCTACTGGCAGGAAGGGATCAGTGTCTCTTTTTAGTATTATATTTCAGACTCCTCTAATTTTTAAGAAGATATCTAATCTCAGAGTTGAGTATGGTTAAACCATGCATACAATCCCAGCTGAGACAGGAGGATTGCCTCAAGTTCAAGGTCAGCCTGGGCTACATAGTAAGACCCTGCCTTGAAAAAAAGAAAAAAAATTCATTTGAAATTAACTGTAAGAAGTATTTTATGAACCAGGCATGGTGGTGCACACCTGCAAATCCAACACTCAGAAGCTGAGGCAGGAGGCTCATAAGTGCTAGGCCAGTTACAGGCTGCCTTGGCTATACAGAAACCCTGTCTCAAAAAAAAAAAAAAAAGGTATTTTATGTGTATATCTATTTAAAACAAATTTACTATCAAAGCTTAATGACATGTCATTTATCATCTTTTCCAAAACATTTAAAAAATTATATCTGCCAATACAGTTGCCAAAATCTTTAAAAACTAACAAGACTAGAGAGATGGCTCAGTGATTAAGAGCACTGAATGCTCTTGCAGAGGACCTGGATTTGATTCCCAGCACCCACATGTTGGTTCACAACTCCCTGTAACTCCAGTTCCAGAGGATCTGATGGCCTCTTCTGGCCTCCATGGGCACTGCATGCACATGGTACACATAAATCTAGGCAAACATTCATACACATAAAAAATAAGTAGAAACTGGAGAGATGACTCAGTGGTTAAGAGCACTGAGTGCTCTTACAGAGGACCCAGGTCAGTTCCCAACACCCACATGGCGGCTAACAACAGTACATAACTCTAATTCCAGGGGATCTGATGCCCTCTTCTGGCCTCTGCAGGCATTGCTTATACATAGTGCACTTACATACATGTAGGCAAAACATTTATACACATCAAATAAAATTTATTTTAAAAAATAAAAATAAATTTTGAAAAACTAAGTTGGAACTGAGTGGCTCAGTAGTAGAGCACTTGGCCCTGGGTTTGATCCCCTGAGCCCCACACCCTACGTGTTTCTATCTAATAAGCATTCTATTATATTTTTTAATTTTTTTCATAAAAGTAACTGAAGATTTATGTCAGCTCTTCCTTTTGAGAAATCTAATTTTCCCCAGTTTTATGGGAACAGGCTATTCCTTATCCCCCAAACCATCTTCTTTCCCTTCAGAAAGCACACCTGTCCCTAGACCTGTGAGCCTTCACTTCTTTGCTGCCCAATGACCCTACCACCCTCTGCTCCGGCAGTCACAGGCAGCTCTCGTGACTCAGGGGAGAGTGCATGATTGTGAAGCAGTGCCAACTCACTGCTACGCAGTGATGCCTTTTCAAATTATAATGATTTATTTTCAATACACTGTGTATAAATGATGAAAATAGAACTTTATAATATTTCAATAAAGTAAATTATTAAACAAATTGTGCCCAACTTCTTCCACTTCAAGATTATATGTCTGTTCACTGCACAGTTCTGTGTCCCTTGAGGGTCACACAGAGTAATGCTAGAATCTGGAGATTCAACAGTGTGTCACCCGAAGTGTATAAATATTTAGATTGGAAGTACGTGTGCCACGAGTGCTGGCTCCAGCTGTGTCTGGGGCTCCCAGGCTATCAGATGAGTGGCTTCTTGGGGTGGGGCTGGCTGGGTTGCTGGTCCTTACCAATGACCTTAGTGCTCTCCCCAGACCTCCCCGACACCATAAGGAGCCATCACTCTTCTTTCTGGTTCTCAGGCCTCGCCCCTGTTTCCTAGCACTCACCTGAGCTATGCATTCTAGTAACTGTGACCATGTCTTCCACTGGCCTGTGAGCTCCTGGAGAGCTGGACCCCATCTTATCCTGCATTTTATCTGCATACTGAGGAGATGAGAGAGCATTGAAGCAGCAAGTCCTGAGGACATGGCAGGGGTTTGAGTGTAGGGTGAGGAATCAGTTTGGGGAAAGAACAGGACTTGTTTGTGGATAAGAGACTTGTGGACGTAAGTTCATTAGAGGAGCAAGTCCTAAGCTGCCGTGCCCAGACAAGGGGATTAGATGGTCAGTGGCTCTCCAGCCTTCACACTGCAGCCATAACTGCCAGCCTTTCTGCCCAGCCATCTCAAGCATTCACTCTGGAAGGTATGTGCTCATGTTAACCGTGTGAACCTTAGAGAACCTGGCTTTTCTCAATTATGCATCACTATGTGAATTCGTATGACCAAAGTTCACAAAGGCTTTCTCTGACATGGGAGTCCAGGGAGGGGAGTTTGTTCTGGTTAATCTGTACATTCAATTTTTCTTAATCTGTATGAATTTATTTTGAGATCATAAAGAGATGTTTTTAAAAAGAGATTAGTGTTGGCATCAGTAAGCAAATTAAGCACCTTTAACTCATCTAATTGGTTTTCAAAATTGATCCAGCTGACACCTAACAATCAAAGCCTTAGAGTGCAGCTAATGGAATGAATGGGCCGAAGGAGTCACAGCAAGCCTTTGAGATCCATCCACATGGCTGTTTGATGAGCAGTTTATTCCCTTTTGTTGTTTAAAGCCAGTCTACTGTAGGTGAATATTGGGATTTTTCCAGCTTGAGGCTGTTTATGAATTAAGCTGTTATGATATTCTTATTTTATTTAGGAAATAAGTGTTCATTTCTGTCAAATACATAACCAGGAGTAGAGCTATTGGGCCACATTTTGTGTGCGTGTATGTGTGCCTGTGTGATCTCTGACCCAGCAATTCTATATGTATATAAGGTTCTCCCAGCCAGTTCTCCAAAGCAGTTAGACAATTTTATCCTCCTTCCTGCAAAAAAACAAAAGTTCTAGCATCCTGCATGTTCACACTTTGTATATCAGGGTTTTTTTTTTTTTTTTTTAAGTATTCTGGCCAGCAAGATGGCTCAGTGAGTAAAGGCTCTTGTTGCCAAAACTGATGGCCTGGGTTGGATCCCAAGGACAAAGTGGAAGGAGAGAACTGACACCTACGAGTTGTCCTTTGACCTGCATGGGCATGCACGTGCGTGCGCATGCACACACACACAGAAAGTAAATAAATTTTAGGTATTCTGATGTGCAGCTAGTACAATCATTTCATGGTTTGAATTTGCATCATTTGACAAATAAGGATGTAACACTTTTTTACATGCTATTGGACCGTATGACTAGCCTCATTTGAGGAATGTCTATGCAAATTTTTGCACATGTTAAAAATAATTTATATTGCGCTATAATACCCATGACATAAAACTCATAATTTAACATGTGTTGGTGAATTTTAGCACATATAAAAGCATGTGCAGTCTTCACTGTTATTTAACTCAGAGCACCCCATGTCCCCCAATCACTCAGGCCTTGAGCTGTCACTGCTGGTTCCTCCTTTGCCCTCCTCAGGGTGCCCTCTGAAGGTCTTTCTGTCTCTGGCTTCCATATAAGTGGGACTGCATGACCTTTTCATCTGACTCCTTTCACGGTGGGATGTTTTCCAGGTTCACTGTGCTGTGTAGCACATGTCAGAATATTGTTTTTATGCTGCTAAGTAACAACCCTGCTACATGGATACCCCACAGTGGGTTTATCCATCCTTCTCTCAGTAGGCATTTGCATTGTATCTCTTGTTTAGCTGATGGTAAGGCTGCTTCAAACATTTGTATATCTTTCTTGGTTTTTTAAAAATATATATCTATCTCTCTCTCTCTCTCTCTCTCTCTCTTTATCGTGTGTGTGTGTATGTGTGTGTGTGTGTGTGCACGTGCACATGCCTGAGTGTTTCTATGTGCACCAAGTACCAAAAGGAGTGTATCAAAGCCCCTGGAACTGGAGTTTGGACAGTTGTGAGCCCCTATGTGATCCAGGTCCTTTACAAGAATACAATTTTTTTCAAGGGACATTTTATTTTTCTTGCACTTTTCTTTTCAATGCTGTGGACCAAACCCAGAGCCTTGTGCATGCTAGGCAAGTACTCTACCAACTGAACTACATCCCCAGCCTCACCACACCCCCAATTTTTAAAAGATCTTAATTTTTATGGATATGTGCATGTGAATGTGAGTGCACACAGGATCAAAAGAGGACATCAGATCCCTGAGCTGGAGTTACAGGGGGTTATAAACCATTGGACATGGGTGCTTGGAATTGAACTCAGATCCTCTGGAAGCATAGCAAGTGCTCTTAATAATGGAACCATCTTTCTACTCACTCCCCAATTATTTTTTACATTTATTTACTTATCTATATTACTTATTTTGTATGTGTGTATTCATGTGGGCATGTGACTGTCACATCATGCATGTGGAGGACAGAGAGAAGCTTGTAGGCTCTGTCCTTCCACCATGTGGACTCTGGGGATCAAATTCAGGTCATCAGGCTTAGCAGTAAGCACCTTCATCTGCTAAGACATCTGGCCAACCCCTCTACACCCCTGGTTTTTAAAAAATATTTTATTATTTTTATGTTATGTGTATGCATGTATTGCCTGCATGTAGGTAAGTGCACCCATGTCATGCAATGCCCGCGGAGGACAGAAGAGGCTATCGGATCCCCTGGAACTGGAGTTATGGACAGTTGTTAGCTGCCATGTGGGTGCTGGGATTCAAACCTGGGTCTTCTGCAAGAACAACCAGTGTTCTTAACTGCTGAGCCATCTCTCCAGCCCCACCCCCGATTTTTAATACTAGTTATGCTTATAAATTTTTTAGAAGAGGTGATTAGAGAGATAGCTCAGTGGTTAAGAACATTAGCTGCTCTTGCAGAAGACCTGGGTTCTAACCCCAGCACAAACATGGCAGCTAACAACCATCCATAACTCCAGTTCCAGGGAATCTGATGCTCTCTTCTGACTTCCGCAGGCATTGCACAACATGGGTACATTTACTGACATTCAGGCAATGCACTCATACACATAAAATAAAAATAGTAAGATATTTTAAAATTTTAGAAGAGAAAATGTAAGCAGGTCAGGCAGTTGCTGTTGTCGGACACAGACTCAGTAACTTTCATGTCCTTCTGTTTCCAATTCTGCAGAACGAATATTAGA